TCCATCCCACTGCCCATGTCGCCGACAAATATGCTAAACAGTGCTGTCTCCCTTTGCATGCAATAGCTCAGTGTTTGGAGGACTCTTCTGGTGGGCGAGAAGCTGAAAAGCAATTCCCTCCATTTCCTGGAGGAGGATGCCTGAATGTGACCTCTCACTGTACAAGAATCTCTTGTAAGCATTGGCTATGCCATGGAGAACTGCTGCAGTAGATAAGAGGCACTGTGCCCTACATGAAAACATGTCTCGACCCAGCAGGGAAAGTGTTTGAACTGGGCTCTTGCCTGTCTGGGAAAACGCTTTGGCTGATGGACACCTCTTCTTCTTTCTGTGTTGCCAGAGGCCCCGCTCCAGAGCTTGATGGCTTGGAGGATGCCTCATTTATAAAGCTCATCCATGACTCATCTCTGCAAAGTAATCTCCCACATGAAAAAGGCCTGTTAACCCCAGAGTTTCATATGTTGCTCCAGTGCTGAAATCCACTCAGTCCATCTTTGCTAATAGGTCTTCTCTGTCTACTGTAGACTTATGTGGCACCTGTGTAATGCTTGCCATTCCATTAGCTGGCTGTCCTTATTTTTCAAATTTTCCCTTTAATTTGTTAATCCTGGGGGTGGGAGGCTGAGGATCAGTTGAAGCTGAGCAGGGGTAGAAGGTTCATCATTGTTATATGGTAGATGGATGCTGTCAAAACAAGCTTTCAAATCATCTGGTACAGAGATTTTTTTTTTCCATAGAAGGAGGTACAGATCTAGTAGAGGATCTTACGGAGCATGGCTTTGCTCCATCCAGGATAGACGTTTACTGTGGTTATCATACAGGTATGGTCATGTCATAGAAAAGCTAAAAAGTTAGCCCATGAGAAACAGTGATATAGAGTACAGGAAGAGATTATTTTGTTTGGGGGAAAAAAGCAAAACAAACAAAACCACACACACAGAGTTCAGGGCTTTGTTCGGTTTGGAGGGAGGGTGAGTTTTATATGCCAGCAGGCAAAAAACCCCACACTAAGGGTTCAGACGCAAGAGAAAGTTTCTAAAGACAAGGTAATAGATAACTATCTGTATATTAAAGATAAGGTAATACATAACTATCTGTGTATTTTCTATGAAAGATGCTATGTCAGATCACCTTACATTTCTTACATATGTAAGACTATATACTTGCTGCATTATCATTTGCCTGTACCCAGGCAAACAAAAATCAATCCTAACTCCATCAGCTAATTCTCCAGAGCATGAGATGCAGGTATCACTGTGTTCTTTATCTCAGCTAATGGTGCTAAAAGAAGGAAACATGTTTTACGCTCTCTGTTCCTTTTACTTTTGGCTTGTGAAATGATAACAAGGATATGAGCGTCACCCCAACAGACACAGCCGTTCAACAGATTCCAGTCTTGCCTGTGAACAATCATTCCAAGAAATAATATGTTCCAGTGATCTCAAAGTGAAAGATGTAGAACATTTAAAATCCTCTTTGAAGATGCAACACATCACTTCAGACAATGTACTTAAGAACTGCTCAGACACCAATGGCACGATACACATCAAGGCTCAAAAACATAAAACCAAAGACAGGTCAATATAAGATACTTTAGGTTATTTTTAATATAGAACATCAGGAAAGGACAGAATGCATCCATGAACATAGCAACCATTGTAAGTCTACTATTACTTTCAAACACACTTTGAAAAGTGTAAAGCTTAACATATTAAAGAGCAATCTGGTCTTTAGCTTTTGCCACTCACTTTTTGAATTTATCTTTAGTTAGCGAGTAAACCATCATCTCTAGGTAACAGCACATACTAATAAAGTAGCAACAGATTAACTCTATAGGTTTCAAGCAGAGATCAATAGGATCTCCCTTTACCTTCAAGTATTCTGAAGTACATCATTGTTACTGCCTTTCCAACCCTGCCCCTGCTAGGACAAATGAAGCTCCTGAAATGCTGAATCAGTAGGTTACAATTTGTGACGTCAAATCTCTATTGTTGCTTCCTCTTGCATATATCCATCATATTCTTCTTCTGTATTTGAAGCACTGTGCCCCTAAAACATTGGAACGCCCCATCTGAACTGAGTATGTATAGTATTAGATGCTGTGAGAGCAATGAAGCTGTGAGGACGTGCAGAAAAGGTAAAAGAGAAGGTCTGAACCTAACAGAAAGCATATTGTAAGGATTCCATCACAGTAAACACGATCATTTTTATTACATACATGTACTTTTGACTTCAGTTTCTGAGCTGAATGTGTCACTTTAAATGCACCAGTTCTGTGATGTCAGTACCACATTGAAACAGGAAAATTTATTTTCCGAGGTTTCAGTTTGCACTTTCTGACTAGTCACAGAAAAGATCCCTTGAGTTTACCTGAGACAGATCCTCTGAGAGAGATGTCACTCTGCAGCTTGCTTGGGCTGCTTCCAGAACAGGATTTGAAACTGGTTCAGATTCCAGTTTGGCCATAAGCATTGGACCATGACTTGTATCTGCATCTCCAAGAATTTCTGCTGAGAGAGAAAAATAAAGAGAAAAAAATTCCTTGACAAGTTGGAGCAATAATCTCCCAGTTAACTTATGTGCCAGGATGTGGAGCCTTTCAAGATTCAACAACAGGACATGCAATGTTAAAGAGAATTATTTCCTCCTTACATGGCTCATTGTATATCCCTTAAATTGTTCTTGTGGGGAAAAAGAAATAAGAAATACATGTCTGAGGAAATTGAAAAAAATAAATCAGTTTTATAATCTGTAGATTTCTAACATGGCAAGCATTTATGATAGCTTCAAAGCTAGGTTCATCATACCATTATATGCTTAATGAGCTTTATCACACATATTGGAAAGAGATTGGAAAGGCTTCTTCATGAAAATGTTTCACTGTTGTATGAATCCCTTTTTTAAAGGGATAATTTGCTATATAATCCAGCATTTATCATGTTTTTGCAGCCTGCAAGTATGTAAAGCATTTTATGAAAAATGTACTGACAGCTCATGAACTAACTTTAGCCTTCTGCTATGATACAAAGCCAAAGAATTAATTTTAAGCCTAATTAACTATAATCATTGCTTAATTAACTGTAATTATTGTTCACTTTAAGACTACATGTGCCACATTTCATTTGCATGTTGGTTTTTATATCCATGACTTTAAGCACTGAAAACAAGTATTTAGAAATGAAAGACTGATCATCAAGATGCTGTTATATACCTGCTCCATCCTACAAATAGACATCATGTTTCCATAATACAAATAAAAACCGATCACAAAACTGAAGATACCCATAGACACACAATCCCTAGAATTCTTGCATATATATATATCTGAGTGACTCATTCTGACAGAGAAACTGAGTATCCACTGCAAGGTTATATGTACAGAGATACACACCCTGAACTATGTGAACTCTGACACCCATTGGTGTAACAATTATTTAATTTTACCCCTAAAAATATTATCAAATAAAATGATGGACCTGCATTGTAACTGTTGTGGCTATCAGGAAATAGCTCTTAGTCCTGACTTGCAATAGACTGAAGGATATACCATCTCACATACCAGTAGACAGATAAAAAAGATTCGGAACAAAGGTGGAAACAATCACAGATCATTCCTTCCTCCCTCCACCTCACTCCCTGTCGTGTTCCCCCCCCCCGCCAAGAATAGATTTTTTCCTATTCTGCATTGACTTCACTATCGAAAGGACTTAGGAACAATATTTTCTGTTCCTCTGTGATATGCAAACACTCCTGCTTTGAAAGCAGATCCTACCTTTTCTACAATGTTGTTTGCTTAGCAATGTCAATGAATACTGTGCTCTGTGTTCAGAGGTGAGGAGGGAGGGAAGCTAAGTTAAAAATCGTAAGAAGGTAACAGAATTATGAAGAGAACAGATTATGTAAAAGTACAGGGCATTCCCGTATGGTAGTTGGTCCAGGGCACTTACCTTCTCTCAAAAAAATACTACAACAGAAACAATACCACAAGATTTGGAGAGAGGAGCATAAAATACTAGAGAAACACACTGCTTCTAGATTATCATTGTATGCAGGAGCTGGTTTTACAAAGTGTTAGACATTTCCAGGACAGACAAAGGGCATCCTAAATTAAATTAAATTAAATTTTAAAATAGATATAGAGGAGATAAAAACATGATTTGCCAGATACAGCTATGGACAGTCTCTGTAAGAAGGAAATATCCCTAGTAGACAGGTTCTCCCACTAACGTGCATCTTCTAACTCTCCCTATGGTCCTGAGCACTGTCAGAGACTTACCGCAGACTGATGTAGATCACTATTTTATTCCTGTGTCACAGTGTTCTTCATGCTGACCGTGCTCTAACAACACAGCGTTAAACAAGTGGCGTGGAGAAATGTCTTATGCCAGGAAGCCTAATGTAACCAATCTCCAAACAATCTTCAACAAATTGCTTTCAAGAAGTTTTATAATATACAAAGTACCAGAACATATTTTCAAGGCTGACAGTTGTGTAGGTGGTCCATAACGTTAGGTAACAGCTAGCTTAAAAAGCTTACACTCTGCATAACCAGTTCAAATGTAAATCAGTTCAAAACTAAGCAAAAATTCTTATTTCTCCAAGATTATTTTTGCCTCATGCTGAACACATTCATTTTCAATCCACTTCCTACTGGTCAAGGGTTGATAATGTGAGATATGCTTCTCTTGTCAAATTCATAAATGTGAATTTGAAAAACAGCTGTTTGATCACTTTAGTTTACACAACTTTTGATGAACCAGTGCAACCACATTTGTGTTGTAACAGCTTAATTATTATTTCAGTTTAGCTTAAACGTATTTAAAACCACAGTCAACAAAATTAAGAGTTTCTACATGCTTGCAGTAGTTTAATTAAGCAAGTATAGAAGTATATTTTCAGATAACAATAGAGAAACTGAGATAAAAAATAAGGGAGGGGAAGGGCCATTAGTTACAGTACCAATTTCAACTGAAAAGAAATAAATTAATTTCCTCACTTTACCACAGCAACTTATCCCTGCACTACTTTGTACAAGCCATTATATGTGTGCCTGAGCTATCCATCTGGGAAAAAAGAATTTCTGTATTGTTACAGGAATATATGAAGCTAAAATATATTACCAATTATGAGACATTGCAGTATCATCTTGATGGCGTGATAAAAACAATGAGGAGGAGTGCTGTGTAAGGGGACAGAAAGAAGTAGCTTGAACTGCTGGTGTCAATACCTGTCCTATGGAAACTGACTTTAAGAATGGTCAAACTAAGGGTTTTTGAGAACTGAACTTGACTTTAAAAAAAAAAATATACTTTACAAGTCAACTTTTTTATAGGCAAGTTGGTACTTGCCATGATTTTTGTTCAAATTGTAAAATATTACAAAGAAAGAAGAGTGAAGACAAGGCTGGAATTAAACCCAGTTCTCAGAACAGGAATGCTAAGAATTTCTTTGCAGCAATTGCCTGCAAATGTTTAATTTTTGATTTTGAACATATTCTCTGAAATTATTTCAGATATTGTTACAGAAAATCCCCAGAATCCACATAAATATTACAGAGAAGAAATAACAGTCTAATTGTACCTCCAATTTGGGCAAGCTGCCCTGGTGATGGAGAACGGAAACCCTGGTGTGGTCTGTTTTCAGAAGTCCGAGCAGCTGAATGGTCCACATAAACTGAATGTCCCATTAGGATTCTCTCAGCTGCTCCGGTCAGCCTCAGTCTTTGACTTTCACTGAGATTCCCAGCACTATCATCAGAATCCTACATAGAACAGCAACATTAGAACAGCAGGTATAAAAAACCCCAATGTATTTCTTCCAAAATCAGGCATTGTTATCTAATTACATTAACCCGTAAAGCATATATAAACTTAAGTCTATACTATTAGCACTGAATAAAGAAAACTGAAACTGAGGAGCTATCATCTAACTGGGTTTGAAAGTAAGATCTACATTTATCAGTACTGGACAGAAAAAAATTACTTACAGCCAAACAACATCACTTATTTTGTTAGTGGTATCCCAACATGACCAGAACCTAAGTTCTATTTTTAGCACGTGAAGTCTTTAATATTACACATATGCCACTGTTGACTGCCTGACCTTGTAACATTGGAAGCATCTAAAAGCTATTGACTGTTGTACAGCATGTCAGATAAAATGTTCAATTTTTAAGTAGGTTTGGGTGGCACTTAAAATTGGGATGGTTCTCTGGATTCTGACTTTCAAAGCTGCAGAGAAAAAACAGCCTGCTTCTGTGCAGGAAAACAGGTTGAATACACATACACACACGTGCACAGTATCATTCTAAGGTGATACTAGTAACATCTAGAATATTCTTTCTCTGATAAACAAGAAGGTATGCTTGCACACACCTTGCCAGAATCGGGGGCGGGGTGGGGGCGGGAGTTTATTACTGTCTTGTATGGACAGATTAGGCAATCCGTGACTATGGGAAAGGGAAAAAGCAAATTAGAGATGCATTTGTAATTGGCAGTGCTGATGAGAAATGTCACTACAATTAGAGTCAGACTCAGAGCTGACACTGTAGAAAGCTTTTCACTGAGTCCATCCACCACAGCTCATTAAGCAAAATATAGACAGACAAAGGAACAGCTAAGGAGGTGAGTGAAGTTAGTAATTATTTAGACTAAACTGACCAAGACAGAAGGAAGAAACTACATATGCATCAATAAAAATCACAAAAAGCAAGATCTGCCATAAATGAAGGCATTCATGAACCATACTGCAGTATTCAAGTTCAATTCCTTTAAACATTCCTCCAGCTATGTCAGTTAGAACAGATGCCCAGTCCAAACTACTATTTTGCATACAGAAAATACTTAGATCTGTGACCGAAAAAAATTACTTTTGTCCTTTGTGTTGTAGATAGTTATATTTTTCTGTTCGTCTTTTTTTCCTGCCAGTTGAAGATGAATATTTTGAGGTTTTGTTCCAAGATCAGTATCAATACCATGCACAAAAGTGCACGTAAACATTTGCTGATTTATTCTTCATACCTCCCTAAAACACTCATATGACTGTTAAGTGCAGTGAACTTGTACTGTTAAACATAGCACCTATATTGCTGAAGTGACAGAAAACTTCCCTGGTACTCAAATTGACAGGACAAATCTAGTGCACTGGAACGGTTACATACACACCTTGAAAACTAGGTACATGTGACACTACGTACAGCTTACTTGTTTATAACACCACTTAATCTTCAATGTTTTTAAAAAGTTTTACACAAGAACAGAGCCAACAGAAGTGGAATCACTTCCAGCAGGGAATGAAGTGTATGAACCTGTTCTATAGCCAACAGGAAGGATAAGCTTAAAATATTTTATCTACTTTTGAATAGGAAAGTATCACTTCAAAACTACTGTATTGGAAGGAAAAGGACTGTAAGTTACCTCCAAATGGCTCATTCCTTCTTGTGCAGCAAGAGGTGCTTGATTTAATTTGGCTAAAAGAGTCAGCACAGGATCCCTGTGATAGCCTTTATCTGGTCTTCTCATCACTTGCCCTTCACTGGGAGGATCATAATCCTAAAACAAAGAAACAAAATCCACACAATACGTGGTCCAAAAGTGGTTTTTGTAGGAACTTGAATCACTCTTACTTTAGTTCACAATTAAGCTTTTTTCTTTTAGAGTAAGTTGTTACAGTTTCCATACTGAGAACTTGTGTCATGAAAATCTAAGCATTTAAAAATAAGCAAACTGACAATACACTGCCTTCTCCTTTTACCCACAGACACTCACAGTCTTTATTTGATACATAAGACTATAATAGAGAAGAACAAGGTCCTTTAGGCCTCCAAATTTCAGTGAAGCAGTTAAATTCTCACACATACTGGTTACTGGCAACAATCTGGCTACAGAGCCAGGATTTAGCTTCCTCAACCAGAGTGCCTAGTTTGAGGAGGGAGGACTATTGGAAAGGGTTATGATCCAGCTGACAAAGAGGGAAGAACATCTTAGCAAGCAAGCTTTCTAACCTGATGAAGAGAACTTTAATTTAGGTTCACCTGATAACAGTCTTAAACCCAGGGTTTAAGAGAGGAAGGGTGGCAGACAGAGAGGGCATCTAAACGGAAGTCCACAAAAAGAACTTTTACAATCTTGATCAAGAGGGAGGGCATTCTCCTCAGGTGCCTATACACTCACATGCAAAGTCTGGACAACAGACAGAAAGATCTGCAAGTTCAGGGCACAGTCTAACAACTATGACATGAATGAAATCATGGATATTACATAGGAAAGTATGCACAGGCAAAGTATGGCCACGTATAAGTAGAAATGTTTATGAAGGATAGGTAGGGAGAAGAAAAGTGGACTCCTACCCTACGACATTTAAACTTCACATTATTGAGGTTGGATGGGACCTCTGGAGATTGTCTAGTCCAACCCAACTGCTCAAGGCAGCACCTTTTCCAGTGTTTGTCCATCCCCACAGTAAAAGTATTTCTCATGTTTAAAAGGAATTTCCTGAACTTCAGTCTGTGTCCACTGCTTCCTGTCTCTCACTGGGTACCACTCAGAAGAGTCTGGCTCTGTCTTCCTTACTTCTTTCCACCAGGTATTCATACTCATTGGTAAGATCCCCCCAGAGCTCGCTCTTCTCCAGGCTAAACAATCCAAGCTCCCTCAGTATGATAGATGCACCAATCACTTAATCATTTTTGCAGTCCTTTGCTGGACTCACTCCAGTAAATTCTTACCTTTCTTGTACTGGAGAGCCCATAACTGGACACAGTACTCCAAATGCTGTCTCACCAGTACTGAGTAAAGAGGAAGGACCACCTCCCTTGACCTGTTTGCAATGCTCCTCCCAATGCAGCAAAGGATGACAGTGGCCTTCTTTGCCACAAGGGCACACTGCTGGCCCATGTTCAGTTTGTCACCAGGATCCCCAGCTTCTTTTCTGCAAAGTTGCATTCCAGCCACTCAGTCCCCAGCATGTACCGGTGCATGGAATAGCTCCTCCTTGGGTCCAGGACATGGCATTTCTCCTTTTTGAACTTAATGAGATTCCTGTCAACCCATTTCTCTAGCCTGGTGAGGTCCCTCTGAATGGTGGCACAACCCTCTGGTGCATGAACCAGTTTTGTATCATCCGCAAACTTGCTGGTGATGCAGTCTGTCCCACCATCCAAGTCATTACCAAACATGTTAAACAGCACTGGCACTAGTACTGACTCCTGGCATACACCACTAGTGACCAGCCTCCAGTTGGACTTTGTGCCACTGACCACAACCCTTTCAGCCCAGTAGCTCAGCCAATTTTCAGTCCCAGGTCAAATCATTCCTTGAATTCACAGACTTCCATGTACCTACTGATGGCCTGAATCAGAATCAGAGGGGAAAGGAACACTAGGGATGTTGTGGGTAGGGTTTGCTTCAGAGCACCTGACCAACAGAAACTAAGAGGAGGCTTTCTACAAAACATTAACAGCGCTCTCATGATTGCAGGTCTTCATTCTCATGGCAGATTTCAACTATCTGGACCTCTTCCAGAAGAGCCACATAGCACGGTGGAGGCATTTCAGGAAGTTTTTAGCAATGCCTCTGGAGTTCACTTCCAACCAATATTATTACAATTTCACTATCAATTTTTTTACTCTTTCATAAAGAAAACTGTTTGGTTTAAGCATATTGTTACTCTACCTGATACTACCATTTATATGACAGCTATGTCCTACCAAAAGGCATTACACAAAGTCAGAGAGGTCAAGTCCAGGCATTTGAGGAAAAGAAAAGTGTTAAAAGAGAAAGGGAATGGAGAATACCTTGACTTGGGAGGCTTCTAGGATAACAGACTAAAGCAGAAGTCAGATAAGAAATTATACTGAAGTTTTAAGCAGATTTAACTAACTCCAGCCTCAGCTAACCTACTTTAATAATTTAAGCACACAATTAAAAGATGGCTCAGAGCATAACAATGTTCTATTCTGTTTAAGATGTCTTAAAACTAAAAACAATAAAGAAATGAAAATGCGTATTAGCTATCTCTCCACCTACAGAAGCATATAAATCATTCAAGGGGTTTTTTTAAATATAAATTAGTTTGTATAATGTATTTTTTTCTTTGGAGCTCTGAAATTCTAGCGTTCTTTGTAAGTGTACAGTTTAAAAGCATAAATTTAAAAAGTTTATAAATGAAAATGCTTAAAGCACATCCAATTTATCAAGATGCTCAAGGCAGAATACCACACTAACCCCATTTCCTTGTGAAACATTTCCTTACCATGTCATTGGCATCTTGTAAAGTACTGGTTAAGCTCTCAGCAAGGTTTGGAAGAGACAGTCCTCCTTCTGCTAAGGATCGAAAATATTTTAAGTTACAAACACTAAAAACCATGCAAGTTATATGAAAGAAAGCTAACGCCACATTCTTTAATAATTGTAACACAGTGCTTTAGTAAAGTTGGAAATGCCTACTGCCGCATGTGTATTATAAGGACATATTTTCAGCTTCCAAGAAAATAGCTCTTACACTTTGCTTTCAATAAAGCACTTAGTACCACATGGAACTTGTGCAACACAGTTCCAATTATTTTCCAAGTTGGTCTTATGACAAAAGAGCAGATTTAATCTTTTTCCATTAGTAAGCAGAAGTATTTTGTTCAGAGGCAAGAAAAAGAGCAATGAAGTCTCTTAAATCCAAAACCATGAACTGAAAGTTAAGGACCAGGTTAATGCTTGCAGTTTTATCAGAAATTGTATGAAATGTAACTTCAGTAGACTGGAAAAGAAGTCTATAAAGAAAAAAAATAAATTCAAATTCTAATTTCCACAGATTTCTCTAGTTAGTTACCTCTTGCATTCACCATCTGTCCATAGCTGAAGAGTACCTCCCCTTCTGAGATGGGTCTGTCTGCAGTTTCTGTTTCTGTGAGGGTGAGGCTGCTTTCCTGCGTGGACTGCCCAGAACTAACTGTAGGCACAGGTGATGGAACCTGTGGATTGCAAGGAAGTGATTCAAAGGGCCTCGCTGACGACTGCTGAGACGGTAAAATCAAGGCTTCTGGTTCCTCATCATTAGCCACTGTCATCTCCCTATAATGTAAGAATATGCATTATGAATACACCAAAAGGCATTAAACAATACAGACTAAAGTCTCTAAATCAATACTGAAAATAAATTAATTTGCAAGTATTTTTTCAAATGAAAGAGCACAGCATTTTACAGAATAGTTCGAGAATCAACATGGTTAAATAATGTTACTAATGAATTTCTGGTTATAACTAAAAATTACCATGTATATTCCTACTGAGATAATAGAAAAAATAAAATACTAATAATACAGTATTTCATTGTCACTACATTTATTACTGGCAGGGGTGACAATACAAGGTTACCAAGTACAACATTCAGCAGCATGATGAATAAGGATTGATAAATCCTGAGAAAGGTCCCGATTTCACGTTTTTTCTCCAAAATACAAGTCAAGAAATTAAAAAAAAAGAATCATGGTTTATCTCAATGCTTCCTGACATATACATTAAGCATTTCTTTCTAATGACTTTTTGAGGATACATGTAGAAAGAATATACATATTCATTTCTTTAAGAAATGAGAAAACAGTGCAGCCTGTTCAACTCACATAGCCTTGGGACGGAACGGTTCTTCAGTTAAAGGACTGGGTTTCTCTTCTTCCAGAGGAAGTTCTGCATCATCCCATGGGTTTGGAGGCTTTGGACTTTCCAGTTTTGCAGCTTTGGAGACCCATTCTGAGGCAGGAGGGCTTGGTGTGGTTGTTTGTGGAGGTGTATTGACAGGGGTAACCACAGGTGTGCCAACATGACTAGTGGCAGCTGGCATCTCAACTCCTGCATGTGTGAAGTCAAATTTCAGATCAGAAAGCAGGCAAGAAGTAAATCTCAGACAGAGAGCGAGTTAGTTCTACTAAGCACTTATAGTTTCTGTGATACCTTTTGATAGTTATGGAGACAAGACTAGATTAAGAATAGTTTCTTTTAAGTACAATGTTGGCATCTGAAGGACCTGGAACAAAACCTCAATTGCTTACTTCCTTTAAGATGGGAGACTGCTCTGCATTTTAAAAAGTAAGCTGCGTTACTTGGAGAGTGTAAACTTGGCTTAATTAACATTAGAAACACAGGAAGGAGCAAAAGACAGCTATTCTTCTGATAAGAAAAAGCGCGGAGGGGCTGGGAGGGGTGGAAATCACACAGACCATAGAACTGTGCATTAAGTTTGAAAACAGAAGTTACCAAAAAAAAGTTGTTTGTTTAATTTTTGTATTACATGAGTTCCGACTTGAATTATAGCCTCAAGAATATTTATCCTGAGAGATAACATGTCTTTGAAGAAGAAAATTAAAGGCAGTAGATTAAAGCGTATTTGCTACTTCTAAACTTCACTTATTATTTTCATTACCTGTTTCTTTATTTTTTTCATGTTCACGAACATCCCCACTCATTTCTGCAAGAGATAGAGAAGTCTCTGGAGTTTTGACTGGAGGCAATTCTTTTTCTGAAGGTGGTGTTTGTGGTGGTGTGGCCTGGGGTGTTGGCAAGGGAGTAGGCACAAGAGACTCCTGAGGGAAAAAAAATTGTAACCATAGTTATTATCTCAATGCAAAATTCCTATCTTCGAAGTATCCCCAGAGTCAGTTAAGGGAGAGAGAGAAAAGCAGGTTATCACAGAACAGGAACAGTTGTTGCCTAGATACATGCTTCATGGATCTAACTCCTCTATCTAAACATAATCTTGCACCAGGCTAAATGGTATGCCTGGACAAAATAAATGAAAAAACAGTAAATTATGCATTAGAATGATTACATTTGAAAATCATTATGTATAGAATAGAACGGAATAGACTATTTCAGTTGGAAGGGCCCTACAACGATCACCTAGTCCAACTGCCTGACCAATTCAGGGCTGACCAAAAGTTAAAGCATGTTGTTAAGGGCATTGTCCAAATGCCTCTTAAACCCTGACAGGCTTGGGGCATCGACCACCACTTTAGGAAGCTTGTTCCAGTGTTTGACCACCCTCTCGGTAAAGGAATGCTTCCTAATGTCCAGTCTAAATATGAATTATATGATTATATGAATTTTAATAAAGCACTTGATACAATGTTAAGCAAGAAAGTATTTTGTGACATGGATAAAATTGAGTCGGTATGATAATGTTATGGTAACAGAATCAGCTCAAGAGAAGATTACAAACAAAGCAATAGCCAAGACAGCAAAGCACGAAAGTAAGCACAAACATAGTTCTGATGTTCCTTAAAAAATGACAGCGATGGAAATAAATCTGACAAGCAAGTATGATGGCTGTCATTTAGCCTGCTATGGAGGAATATGATGGACCTTTCCAGACTTTTTTCCAGCCCCGTTCTGTGACATTTCATAAAGAAAACAAGATTATGGGGCTAAAGGAAGGCTTCCAGGCTAGCTTCTGAAGAATAAATCCTCAGATTGATGATTTTTACTAAAAACTTATGGGAAGTGGAACATGCTAACAGATTTGGCAGCACACACACAACTGCGTGACATCGTGAACACGAAAGAACTCGGTAACTGTGCAGCTGAAGTTCTAGATAGGAAACTTTACAATAAGGAGGGGTAGATCAAGAATGCGTAACCTACATATTCAAGAACTTCTGCTATAAGCTGAGCTGAAATGGAAAACCAAGAAAAAAACCTTATGAATGTACAAGTTATCCAAAGAACAACTATTAGCCACAAATGTGGAAAAACTTAAAAAAACATAATTAGCTACCTGAGATTCCAATAAAGGTAGGAGAATATCACTACAATAGCACAAGGCACTGAGAAAACACCATCTTGCACACTACATTATTATTAAAAATGTCTATTAGCATATTAGCGTTACCCATGGTCAAGACCAATCTAAATTGGAAAACATAAAAGTGCTGCCCATCAGCAAGAGTTGAAAAATGGTACACATACAGACGATTTCTTTATTTAGCCTAATCAAAGGACAGAAAGGACTAAATTTATCTCTTGAAGTGCACAAATGAATATATATAGTAAGGAGAACACAACCATTTCTGCCTAAGGACATTTCCGTTTAAGCTGGTACAGAAACAAGAAGGCTTAAGAGGGCCATTAGTAAATGTAGAATGGTTATTAGAAGAGGTTTCTAAATATCAGAAGAACAAGCTACAAAGAACAGTCCTCTTTAATATCATACCCTCCTTAATCTGTAATGGAGCAGGGAAGAGCTCTTTAGATGCAGGGTGGCTGTATTTAAGCCTACAGCAGTGAAATGATCACTTTTGACTACGGAATAATCTGTTGGTCACTTACAGCTGGCACTAGGTGGTATTTCAGTCTATATGCACTGTAGCAGAATAGAATAATTGATCTCACTTTCAACAAGCACAGCAATTACCACATTCATCCCAAAGACATTATACAACACCAGATTGTAGCGCAGTCAGATTGTTAGCAAAATAAGAGCCAGCTGTCATTTGATTATCAAAGGGAACAGAGAAAATTCTCCTGTATTACAGGAAGCTCTACTAATCATTTAAGCATTTACTGAAAACTACTGAACTCAAAACTTAGAAAGAATACTCATTTTTACAGATATTAAAGAATGGCTGCAAGCCCATAAGACCAAAAATACATCACTCTCAGATTCTATTTCTTCTTATGAAGAAACTAATTTCTTCATATTATCTCGTTTCTTCACAAGACAGTTGCATAGCTATTTTTGTTGAAAATAACACGAGCTATCTTTTGACAACATGAAATTAAGTACCAAGTCTTTCCCTTAGAAATCAGTTTTGTGCTCAGCCTTAAAGTAAATAAATAAATATAGCATGTTGCATGCAGCACAAAGGAATTAATTTTTTTTTCTTTTCAAATTTTTTTTAAAGTGAAATAGGTTTAATCTTGTTGCTTGCAGGAGTATAATAAGGAATAGTCAAAAAATGCAAATCAGGCACATTCAGTTCATCAGTCTTTTTCCGTCACCTTTGTCTTGCATATAGTTGAACCATCATGCCACAAAGAAATTACCCCTTAGAATTTCAGCAGAAAAAGCTAAAATAAAATGGACTCTTACCATCATAATCATTGTACTTGGAAGAACATTTGTAGTAGGAACTGCTTTCTGAGCCTGCTTGTTACCCAGCATGGTTGCAATTGTTTCACTGAGAGCTTCATTTACGAAATGACTTATCATTTCTGAGTCCACAGGCACACCAGCATTGATAAAGAGTTGAAATCCTCTACCACCTGCAACTTCAACTGAAAATGAAGAAACATCAAGCACACATCCAGGTCTCACTTCTTAAAACACATGTACTGTACTGCAGCCACTCATTTTATTCTCCAAAAACTTTCAAATATTCCTTTGCAAAGAGTGATGTTTTATTTTACAGATAAAGAAACAACAATTCAGGATCATAAAAGAAGGCAGCAGCGAAGGGCAGTGACATCACAGGAGAAATGCATTTGTCTCCTCACACATTTACAAGGGAGGTAATTTTTGACCTATTTATTAACAAAAGAAAGGCAAACAAACATTACAGGCTTAGCAAAATGCCAAATCTGATTTAGATGGCCAATACAGAAGTTGATTTGTACAGTGGTGTGTTTTATGTGTTCTTTTTCTTTTTTTAAGATAATTTATTTCAATGGCCTTACAACACTTGCCCTGCCTCAACATAAATTAAAGCATGCACTTTTGCATTTCACTCGTTCAGCATTATCCACTCTTAGGCTCAGGCAACAGCTACCTACACAGCTTGTTAAAATCAGCCAAAAATTGAGATAATCCATCTCCTGAGAACAATAACTCCTGCTTACCAATGTCAGAGGTTACAGTCTCACTGTCTTCACTCTCTGAGATGCTAACATCTGGCACTGTTTCTTTCTGAACTGGGTACATCTCATCGATGATTTTTGCCATTATTTCTTGTTCCACCCTAGCAGAATAAAACTCATTTAACTATTTGCAAACACCAAGGTACCTAAAAGTATACAAAAGAGCATTCTTGACATAAAACGCAAGGCAGCTCAAAGGAAGAAGGAGAAGTAAAGGGAGGGGAGGAGAAGAAAGGGAAGGTATTCTTATGGAGTCGTTCTTCCATATATATTCTCTCACCACTTTGTGACATTGCAACTCACCAATTTATCAACCTGTTTTCTATAGTTTCTCTCCTTTGAATCAGTTCATCCAAAACATCAGAAGACTGCTGAGAAACAGAAGCCACTGGAGGAAACAAAGGACCATTGTATGTTGGCGAGGCAACCTTAAACTGTCCATTAAGCTCCAGAAGAGGCTCAAAGACTTCTGGAATTTCATCCCTCTCCTCTTCGTGATCCTAATAATAAGTAGTAAATTAAGTTATGGTGTATTTCTGGAAGGCAATGTCATTGAGGTAACAGTCAGATTTTTTTCTTTAGGAAACATCTGTAGATGTGTCACAGCACACAAACCACATTCTCCCTTCTTAGTATGTTGTAGTTAATTGATACAATTCTAAACTTAGCAAATCATAAATCTGTAGAGGTATAAAACTACAGGAACTGTTAAGTAAAATATGATTTGGCTCATATTTCCTGCCTGTGCTGCACAGGGCAGGGAGCCAACGGTAATGCTAATACTTCAGAAATTTACTTGTGACATAAGTCAGGTTTCTTTAATATATACTCCAGAAATGCTCCTCCTTTAAACAAAATTTTAGGAAACTTTCTACAGTTACTTGTTGGGTTAGGTTTTTTGGTTTGGTTTGGGTTTTCTTTGGGTTTGGGTTTTTTTTAGAAACTAAACTTTTCTTTTCAAGTCTCCTGTCTGAAAAGATACATTCCCAAAAATTAACGGGTATGTAGTCAGTCAAAACTCTAATAAAGTTGCCAGTACTGAAGACTAGATATTAATATTTTACACATACGTTACATGTATGTTTACACTTTTATTAACTTAAGCTTCTGAAAGTCAAAAGGCATTTCTGGGCAATAAATTCACAAGATCCTCACAGACACTTTGAATTTAACCTTAATGTGCTATTTCTAAAAAGTTATGGAAGTTACTCAGTCTGCATTATAATGTTTGACTGTTTCCAAAGATGCCACCCTCCTTTCCCCCCTGAGCACATACACAGCATAAAGTCCCAAAAAGCAGCCATCAACCCGTCATATGGTAATGTAACACTTAAGAAATGTCTTGTGATGGATGAGAACCTGCATCCTTCACTCATAATATTAAAACCAAATGTCTCTTAATAGTAACATGATTCTCTAAGAAGAAAATTTGGCATGCCAGAAAGAGATGAGGAGTTGAGCCCTAAATTACCAGTGAGTAGTAAGTAATGTTGCATAAAAGAACTCACTGTAAGTCTACATTTACTAAGATTAATCTCCAACACAGTGAAAAGAGAAAAAAGTCTTATTTTCCCTTAAATTTACTTTTAACCCATAAAATAAAAAAAGTGCTATATATTTCCTATGAATAAAAGAACAAATCACTGAAAACAGAAAGAATAGAGAAGGGGGGGGGGGGGGGGGAGATAGTAACATTTTCCTGTCTCTTTCCCCAACCCAGCATTAACACTTCTCCCCTACCTTAATATACTTAAAACTAAAAAGTCAGCTTGGTCCATGATGGATATTACAACAAATAGTTATTGGGGAGTGGGATCTTTCTGGATCTTTGAATATAATAATTCTTCAAAGAAAAGCTGTAACTTACAAAGCAGGCAAAACAGAATATGTATATTTGGGTGACAAACAAAGATGTCTAAACCATTCTAGGCATAGAAATAAGACAGTAAAGCTAAACTCAGAATGGCAATGGATGCCTTGCAAGCTGATAAGCAGTTCATTCTGTTAGGATATACGTATTTATAACCATAATTCATTCTGACAGCAAACGTAAAGATATCTTTGTCCAATGTTTCATTATGCATTTTCTTCTGACTGCATTACTCCATAAATTTTCTTTGATGTTGCCTATTTAATACTTCTGAAAGTATGCAAAATACAAACATCTGGATTAAATAAACCAAGTACATACAATAAATCTTACATATATTTAGTAACTTCTGACAAACTTCTGCAGTTCTCCTGCATTTCTAAACTATGTGCAAAAATATTTTATATTTCATAGTGCACAAATCCAAAAGAAAATTATATTCATTTTGGAGTGATATATTATCTCTGCTGTATTTAATTATACAGATTGAACTTGCACATATACCACCTTCTGGACCAATCCTGAATAATCTGCACGCAATTCTGCATTTTAACTCCCTGGAGACTATTGAAAATATCTATCATGACTCCCAATCAAAATACAGCATAAATTAGAAAGTCTTTCAGATACGATTGGAATATTAATCACTGTACTTTATTACAAAGTATCAAGTTGAAATTCTATTTCCCAAATTACATTCAGATAATTAAAAAAATGTTTGAAATTATTAGGTGGTATAGATTAATTTTGTTCCATTACCAAACATGTATATGCCTAGTCTTTTATTAAAGCCATCCAAAACTTTGTCATGGATTTCTTCTTGACAGACTCCTAAAGCAATTTTCACAAGCAAGGTCAGGCTGGATTGCAGGTGCCACCTGTGATCTTTTGTCTGAAAAGTTATACATGTAAAAAAATCACTATCCCCAAGAGCATCTATGGGAAACCAAGGTTGAGGAAAATACATTTACTCTGATCTCTGCAGGTTATATATTTTGCAGTGGTATTCAAAATGGAAGCAAAAATTCTGAGAAACAAGTCCCCACCTTGCAATTAGGGCTTGCTCAGAGAGCAAAAAGTGCCTCTAATCTTAAACCCTAGTACATTTGCTAAAGGTACTGCAGGATGTGGCTGCTTAGAAGAGCTGGAGAGCAGACTCAATAAATCTGAGAGTCCGTTCTGGGCTCGTGTTACCTGAGCACGTTTCTCACTCTGGAATAAAGCAGGGTCCATGGAAGGGCTGGCCTTACAAAACCTCTTCTGTGCAGAAAGTCTGAACCTACTTTATTGTAGGTGCAACCATTGACCGAAAATAAAGAAGCGTGTAAATCAACGCTGTAATAGTTTTTTCTGCTTTATGTCACATATGAATTTTCTTATTGTGGAATAACAGCACCTAATTCAACTATTTTGGAAGATGGAACTCTGGATCTTTAACCACTAGACAGCAAGGTTGCAATGGGAAAACAAGGCACATCACCTCTTCCCATGGCAGGGCTTGTGTTTTACAAGCTGGGGCACGTTGCATTAGTCCTCAAAACTGTTAAAACAAATTACTGTTAGGTTATGCGATAAAAGGTTTGTCTCCACCCACACAAAGGGGCACAGAGCAACAACAGGTGGGAGAATAGCCTAACACGACAACAGAGCACCCTGACATGGCTGCTCCCAGGGCTATCACAGGAAAGGGCTCAGCCCCAGTGTCCAGAAGGGAAACCCAGCAAGATGAGCCCATGGGAAGACTCTCCATAGCACCTTTCTTAAGGCTGGGCAGGTGCATTTGGATGAGGTGATGACACGATGAGTTATTAGAGGATGCATGGAAGATTTGCTCTTCTCCCCGGTAATTGCTCTTCTCCCCTGTAATTAGCGATAGGACGAGAGGAAATGGTCTCAAGTTGCGCCAGGGGAGGATCAGGCTGGACATTAGAAAGAACTTCTTCACTGTTAGAGTTGTTAGGCATTGGAACAGGCTCCCCAGGGAGGTGGTGGAGTCATCGTCCCTGGAGGTGTTCAAAAAACGTTTAGATGTGGCACTTCAAGACATGGTTTAGTGGACAGGGTGGCATCAGGTATACGGTTGGACTTGATGATCTTTGAGGTCTCTTCCAACCATAATGATTCTATGATTCTATGATTATTTTAGGATGGTACAACATGTTTCATGTTGTGTTTACAGGAAGGAATCAGAGCTGTGGAAAGGGAAGGACCAAGATGGTTTGGAGAGGTACAGGTGTGGGCAAATAGATAAGGGGACAAAAGCAGCTGGATGCACATAGACAACTGGCTGGTCAGCATGCTTGCCTGGCCTTGCCCTATGCCTGATTGGCGCAGTCTGTCCTGTCTGCTCACTAAAAGCCATTGCCATCTATTTTCCTGAGCAAGGGGCTTTCAGGGGACTGCACGTCCAGGTGCCAGAGCTGGGGAGGGCAAGGACCCAGGGCCAGCTACTGGGTAGACTGAGTGTCTAACACCAGATACTGGAGGGATCTACACTGCACGTGTGTATGCCTCCGTACATACATGTATACACACACTTTTTACAAGGACATGGAGTGATGGGACAAGGGACAATGGCTTTAAACTGGAAAAGGAAAGATTTAGATGAGATATAAGGAAGAAATTCTTCCCAGTGAGGATGGTGAGGCAGTGGCACAGGTTGCCCAGAGAAGCTGTGGCTGGCCCACCCCCGGAAGTGTTCCAAGCCCGGGTGGGT